TGTCTGTAATTTTTATTTTGTATATTTAAGTAACCCTCTTTTTCAAAGACATTTTTGAATGTTATGTAAGTTCTTAAAACAGGATATTTGAAAATATCTTTCTGCCACTGAGACTTATAATTCTGATACAGTTTTTTTGTTATCATCTTGATAAAAATATAATCATCATCGATCTTTTGAGTTTCCCAATATGAGAATAAATCACATTTTTTCAAAATATATCATACAACATTTCCATTCCATGCTCCACTCATATTAGTCCTATTTTGATTGGCAAGAGTCATCCTGAACTCACCATATATTTCTCCCTAGCATCGCAGATTTTCCAGATGCAGAGAGAATGTCAAGCAAATAAATAATTTTCAGTTTTCAAAATAAAAGAACTTCATTCTGTGTTTTCATTAACTCATGTGTATGCAATACTTAAGATAGTAGACAATTCTGCCATCTGCCAAACCTAAACTACATGCAATATTAATGAAGTGTTTGTGATGTTATTTAGTTTTATACATGCAGGGGCGTAGTCAGTCAGGGGGGTGCGATTGCCAAAACATTTCAGTTTTCAGTCGGTGGGGGGGGGGGGGGTGCGATCGTGGCATAAGCAAGCTAAAAAAATGTGTGCTTAACCTACATGAGGATCAAACAACAACAGATGCTAAAATAAGGCCAATTATGACTGAAGAGCATATTTTTCTGGATTATTCAATTTACATATTTTGTAAAGTCAATCCAGAAAAATATCAATAAATTTTCTTTTGTTTCTTTTGCATCAAGGAATATTGGTTAATCTTTTGTATTTCATAAATATATTTCTGGTGATCAGAATATGATATAAGAGCTGCCCCTGAGGGCTGGCGCTAGTTCATATCGATCTCAGCCAGCAGATTTTTTATCAGACAATAACATGGCCACTGGTCAGTAATTTAATTTTGATTCGTCTGGTCAGAAATCCCATAGTCTTTAAGAATCAATCTACCGGCAATTCGACACAAATAAGAAAACGACAATAAGGCGATCAATTCGTTGACAGGTGAACTGTAAGAGCTACAACTGAAAAGGATCATTGATCAATTATTCAAGCAGACACTAACGAGAGCCACAAGTTCACACGGAGAATGGTCAATAATAAGTTTTACACATTGTTAATGTTGAAAACAGGAATTAAATTCAAAACATGGATAAACTGTGGCTATAACATGACAAACGTGTGTGCTAATTCCGAGGTGTGGCTCATTTATCACCTGTCCTTCACATTAGAACCAAGATGTAAATAATTACTAAACCGCTGTAGCTACATGTGAGCTACAAAACAAATAATCACATTTTAGAGGAAAATATATAATTAGTGAAATCTACAAAATCAATATTGAAAAAGATCAAATAATATTTATTGCAAAATGGCTTAGTTACACTTCTACTAAGCTTAGACACCTTATTTTTTAAAGAGGAAATAAAACTTTGGTTTAATGTTTTACAATACTATAATTTCTATTACGGAAAAAGAAGATAAAAGGGTGCGGCTTACATAATGCTTTACCACATATGTATCATACAAGTTTGATTTTCAATCATGAAAACTTTATACTTTAGTAATCCAAGATGTATGGTATACATTTAATTCAAAGTAAATATTCCCAATTCAATACAAGAACCTGCACAATATTTTTAAATCGAACATGAATAATTGGCTTTAAATGTAAATATCCTTTAGGAATAACAGCTCAGAATAGTATATCTTTAAGTAGGAGAATATAATAAAGATAGAATGTGATTAAGTGTTTTATGTCTGTCTAATATGGAATGCTAGGAACAAATGAATGATAGCTACGTATCTTCATATTATGCATAATTTTCTGAGTGACTGGCTACACTAAAGAATCAATGATAAGTAAGATCGATGAATTTCTCCACAGATGAAAGATATTAGACTACTAAAAGTCTCTAGTGTTACTGCGACTCTTACAAAATAATCTTTTTCTGATTACTTCAATTCTTGATCTTTATACTAAAAGTATATTTAAATTAGGTTATATTCAGATTTTTAGCCAATTTGAATAGCATTTGTTGATTAGATTTCCAATGCTAAAGGGTCTATTTTTCATCCTCTCGTAAAATCTAAGTGATCATTTTTCAGTAAAATTATGAATTAATCTTCAATCTGGCAGTAGCTCCTATCAATTTCTTGTTTCCATATTGAACCCAACTATAACCATTCAATCAATAATAATTATTTTAGTGTATTAATTATTCAGATCATAAGGCATGTAAGAAATTGTTATTGTATTGTATTACATTGCATTGCATTGTATTGTATTGTATTGTATTATATTGCATTGTATTGTATTGTATTATATTGTAAATGAAGACATATTTTGAATATGTCAGAAAAGTCAAAAGTTTAATTAACCTAACATGTAAGAGAATTCTACATTTTATCTAATTGATAAAATTACCAAGTATGCAAGAAACAACCCTGGTAAAATCTGTCTTTCATAAGTAACGCAGGGTTCAGTTTTATCCCTACCCCTTGGATTCTAAACATTTGTGTTATTTCAAGATGAGCAAACACAAACACAGACAGCTGTGCTACAATGATTTAATGATTATGTAATGAAAAGAAAACCTATAAGTGAGACACTTGGTTGTTTAAACAACAGTTTTATCACATATGTGCATTAAAAATATAAATAATTGAAAATTGAAAAAAAATCTGAAAGTTGACTTAAAATTGTAAAAGGCTGGAAAAATGTTATTTGCATAGTGCTAATTAAAGAATGTACAATTTTGTGTCTAATCTTTCTCGTTGAAAAGAGGTTTATCATATAAACTGAATTCAATAATTTGCGAGGGAATCTGTATGATTCTAATTCAACACAGCCTTGGGATAATGTGATAAATTGTCGGTCTTAAGAAAATCCTGTAATTTAGTGGTCTTTGTATTAGGATCATGTCTGCCAAGTTGCATGTGCATCGCTTACTTATGTGTCATTTACTGATTTCCCTTGGAACCAAGATTCATAGTTCTTCTATATAAATACAAAGGAGAATTTATATATTATATAGTATATGAATTTCTACCCTGATGGCTCCTGATGTTTTTTAAAAGTGACACAAAATATGAGAATCTCATTTGAATCGAATATTTTACTGTCTGTCCTTTTCCCGGAAATCTTGAAAATATTTTTACCATCCGATCTATCTAAGAAATATGAACTTGTTCAAATATACAGATTTTCAAATATGGTGTGGCATAACATTGCAATGAATAGACTTAATTAAATTATAATTTTAGTTTGCACTGATGCTCCTTGTCATGACATAAAATATTTAAAGTCTGTATTTTGACTTGAAGGAAAATCAATATAAACATGAGACGCCGAAGCAATAATACTCCGAGCAATTCTCACTAAATTAACTGTCGAGCGTGATAAGAAGGGATAAAAGATCTAAAGTCTCCATGAAGAAAACCTCTAACGTCTCTTCAAATCCTCATTCATCACCTGAACAATGACATCAGACAGTTAGAGTGACAGCTTAACTCATAACAGACAAGTTAATTTCTGCGACAAATAACTTCGGAAATACAGCCCTTTATCTGCGTTGACCAGTCTTCCATGATTACGCATTGTCATTAAGAAAATTTCAAATTAGAAAGCAATTCAAGCGATATGGACTTTGACGTTGGTTTTAATTTGATTTCTTCTGGCGATATTGTTAAACCGACATAGAAGAGGATAACAAAATTTAACAATAGGTTAATGTAGTAATCAGCATGTCAATTGTCACTAGCAATTTTAGTAATTAGTTTAATAACACAGTTCTAGGCTTTATTGCCGTTAATGTAAAATCTAATTAACTGGTTATTGGAGGTCTTTTATTGAACTAAGCCTGAAGGAATCATGTTATAAAGCTCTTGTGGATAAATTTGATTGACCTGACATCTTTACGAAAAATAAAATATTATTTCAACAATTTTATTTCTGCAAAAGCAAAGCTTAGAATGGACATACTCAAATGGAGTTGAAATTCAGGAAAAAATGGTCTCTAGGAAACAAAAAATTTTGAAACTATTTATAATGGCCACCAATTTTCAAAATGGCTTCCCAACTGTTAAAATAACATCAGTTTTTTACCATATATGGTTAGAAGAGTTGCAAAATCAAAACAAAACCTTGAATATTTAATCAGGTTCTAAAGGATGTCATTTTTTAATGGAATGGTGAAACAGTTATGGAGATCATACAGCGACAAATGTTTTAAAAAGTCCATCTAGTGGAGGAATTCTGGAATATAGGCTGAGACCATCGAGTTAATAGGAATTTCCATAGTAGCATTTTCAGCCACATTCATTTTCCGCAAGCCCTTTTACGGAGGAAGTAATTGTTTTTCAATAATCTCATTCTGGTTTAAAATCATATGTTGATCCAAACCCCCATATTTGCCATCATTTCTGCCCTCATAATTTGCATTTGACTTAATATTTTATATAGTTTAACTCATTGCTAGCCAAAGCTATTTTTGGAGGTTTTCTGCTGGTGACTGGCAATTTTGATGGAAAATTAAGCAAAATTGCATGTTTTCACATTAGCATTAAATAGACTGTATCAACACCCTATGCGCTAAGTTATATGCCATTTGTGAAGTCAATGACAAAATATATCAATTGCACCCTACCAGGTTCTCCAAGTGACCACTAGAATATTTGGTAAGATAAATGGTACAGATTATGTGACAATTACTGGACAGCACCCCGAGGGTTGGTCACATACGATTATGACGTCATAGTCAAAGACGAAATATCTCGGGGTTGGTCAGCAATGAGTTAACTATTAATGATATAGGTATATACATCAGAATAAAAATGCATTGTTCATTATACAATGAGAAAGCAGGGCAAGTTATATACCAAATGAAAGCTGAATATTCATAGAAACATGATTCTACCTATTCCCACCTTGAATTGACTGTTGCTATGGTTACATGGTAAGATTTATACTTACATATTTTATGTTTTCCTTTAATGGGAAATTTGACTATAAGTTCTTGCGGGTTGTTACATATCAGAACATAGGGTGACCCTGACTCTCCAGTGGGATACTGCAATTAGAATAAGTACAATATTATATGTAAGTATATGTATTTCTTAGATCTAATTAGAATAATGCATGTAATTACAGTAATTGAATAATTTATGTGTTTTATGAGTTTTATGTGATACATGTATGCCCAATACAGTATGCTGTTGTGTGCACTCAAATTTTAGTGAAAACTAAAATATCAGAGCTACAAAAAATAAAAAGAGTGAATAATGAAAGCTCAATATGCAAGTTTCAGCAACAATAAATACCATTTTTTGAATGAGAGGGAATCTCTCTTGATTTTTACGATTTTTGTTCTGTTTTAAAACTTGTTAATAAAAGTTGAAAATGTTCAAATTGCATCATTTATGTGACCACAAACTTGAAAATGAATAAGTTTCAGAAAAAATATTATGGAATAAATAGGTTATTGATGGTCGTGATGAAATATGAAGTTTTTCCTCGAGAAAATCTGATATTTTCCTTGGCGAAGAATAAAAATAAATATTAATTCCTCCCATTAAATAACCTCAATTTATTTACTCGATACACTATGTGCCAGAGTGTTGTTACTTTTTTTACTGCAAACGTCGGTTAAAATTAAAATTACTTTCAAAGAGAGTGATATCAGTCCTTTTAAGTAAACATAAGATATTTGTCATAGAAACAAAACTTGAGTAAAATAGCAGTGACTAGGAAAAACTGAAATTAAAAGCATTACCTGCAATCTGTATTCATCTTGGGCCAAACAATCAGACACGTCAACACATCCTAGCAGACAGGCTACTGGATATTCCCTTGGAAAGTCGGAATCCGATAAAGGAACTGAAATATACACGATGTCACAATCATATTATGATGTCACAAATAGCAATGAAAGAAAATATTCATTAGCTGAGCACAAAGAAGGATATCCAATGATTATTTCTGACTCAGGCTTGCTAAGATATGGATAGTAAGTTTGAATAATTATTTTAGCAGTGTAATTTCTGAGAAAAAAGAATAGAATACAATTCATACTATATTATCAGTATTAGCGAGCAATTATTCCATCAAGTATACTTTTCACTCCCCCCCCCTCCATCTTATCTTCTACATTAAATACTTTTGTTGAAGGGTGGGAGGAGCTTGCCACATGACTACAGTAATAACTACTTACTTGCACTTGTGAATCTTGCTGCTTGTTCAAGGTCAGCTATTTCTTCAGCAGTGGGCTTCTTGGCTGTAGCAGCTATCCATAGACGACCCCTGTGTGGAGTGTACCAGGTTCTACCCTCATGACTGGAAATGATTAATATTTAGTTATTGACCCCTGTGTGGAGTGTACCAGGTTCTACCCTCATGACTGGAAAAGATAAATATTTAGTTATTGACCCCTGTGTGGAGTGAACCAGGTTCTACCCTCATGACTGGAAAAGATTAATATTTAGTTATTGACCCCTGTATTGAGTGTACCAGCTTCTACCCTCGTGACTGGAAAAGATAAATATTTAGTTATTGACCCCTGTGTGGAGTGAACCAGGTTCTACCCTCATGACTGGAAAAGATTAATATTTAGTTATTGACCCCTGTATTGAGTGTCCAGCTTCTACTCTCATGACTGGAAAAGATTAATATTTAGTTATTGTCCCCTGTATTGAGTGTACCAGGTTCTACCCTCGTGACTGGAAAAGTTTAATATTAAGTTATTGACCTGGGTGGAGGTCACCAGGCTATATCCTCATAACTGGAATAGATGGATGAACGAGTGGTTCCATGTAGGCTCTCCATGTGTTTGGAATCTTATCAAGTGGGACTTCACAAACAATCAATACTAAATACATGTACACTCTTGTGAGTGGTGATTCCTTGATTAGAAACTCATCCCCAGAATTCCCAAAGTATTTTTAAACAAAATTTGCTAAAAATGGTCCAGTCACTTTAATTTCTTTTGAACACTATTTGGTCATAGGTCCAATTGTACTTACATTTTGATACCTTTGACTAGAAGTGATGCCCATGGCTGATGCATGCTGAGACACATGCCATCATCAGACATTTGCTGGAGCTCACAATCTTGTAGCCTCACAGTACGCTTTTCTGTTATTATATTATTGGTGACAGCGGTGGTGGGATTAGAAACCTTCTTACTGTAAGGCCCATCACTTGGAATGAACTGTAAACATTCAGTGACATCATTACTGACATAATATATTGTCCAAAAAAGTCATTTACTTTTATAGCAGACAAATACTTGCATAATATATTTCAAGAATATTGAACGTTTTCTATGATACAAATCAGGAATTTACAGCAAACTGAATCCAAAAATGGTTCACCAAATCTGCCATTTCAACATAATCAGTATCGCATCAAGCATGTTTTTATTTCCTAGAGTTCTAAATGGTTTAGTCAATTTCAAAGATCAGACTATTTGGTAAAAGTTTTATAACATAAGGTTTTCTTACTAAAGGTGGAGGTTGTTCTAACGTAGGATTCACTAAACCAATAAAATCCTCTTGTTTCAAATCGATTGTCTTTGATTTAGGTTTTGCCCCATAATGCACTTCCTGTACAACGCTATCATTAATGTTGTACAAATCAACATCGCCACCTTCCTCTATAACACGTCTACCAGCAAAGTCTAATGTGATTTTTCTGTCTTTACGAGAGGCATGTTTTATTGCACGTAATTCTTCCTCTCGTTTCTTAAGTTTTTCTCTATCCTTTTTAGACAACCATTGAGAATCTGAGGAAAAATAGTCTGATTCGTCATCTATGACTTTAGTTCGCCTTGCACTGAAATACAATGTACGCCATATATAGTCTTCATTGTAAGGTATTCAAATATACTGTACAGGGTATCCCAAAAGTATGGGACCTCGCTAAGCTGACATATACCAATGTCTCCATAGTATGTGTCATATATAATTTTAAGGCTTATCCAAAGTTACATTGATTTGCCAAGTATCATGTTTTAACTCACAAATAGGAAAAAGTTACATCCTAAAATTCTTTTTTTTTTATTTCTCGCTGATTGGGATGTTGGTAAATGTATGATTATTGAATAGCATTTTTGAACTACATATGTCTAAACTCTCTATGTAAATATTGTTTCAACTCTTCAAATAACTGCTATACAAAAGGTTACAAGATGTACAGAATTTAATCTTATATTACCTCGTTCTGTCATATTCCAGTAACCTATTTTTATGAGCTATAGCTTTTTCCAATTTTTCTTCAGAATCTTTAATCAAGCCCTTATACTGGTCCTTCATAAGGTAGTTCTTTAATTTTTCTCCTTTCTTTGAGCCCCTTGCTATCATTTCTCCTTCTTCATTTGTGCAAACCTGAAAGCATTTGAAATGCTGGAGTTTAAATACACAATAAAAGCAATGTTGTATTCACGTGGAAGAGGTTGAAAAGAGTGATCGAAATAAAGTCAACAGGCATCACAGGCTTAAAATTCAAGATAAATCTTTGGCTTGTTTATGCCACAATCGCAACCCCCCGGACTGAAAACCATCATTTTTTGGCAATCGCACCCCCCTGACTGTAAGCTGGCTACGCCCCTGGGCATGTAGTCACCACTTAATATTTTACAGAAGTTTAAGAATTTCTGTTTGCTTATTGATACTTTAGATGAAATAATACTAAATAGGCATGAATGTGAGAGGTGTTTATGCATAAACTGTAATATATTTCCATATTTGATAAGTAAATTCATTATAAATAAAGAAATGTGAATAACTGAGAGATTTAGAAGTACATGTTTTGCATAGTTATAACCAGTTAATAAGAAAAGTGTGATGTTAGTACATACCAGTGTATCACAAAACATACAAGGCCCAGAACCTTCTTGCTCACAGACGACTCTGCCACACCCAACACAATTATTCACTAGCTTGTGTTTAACAGCCTGGCACTCACATGTATGTCTTCCTAGAATCATATAAGTAGTGTGTATGTATTACTTATTATTTGCATCTTTATAAGACTGTTACATGACAAACAGGAATGTATCATCCTCTGTACGCAAGGATTCAAAATTTAGAATATCTTATTTATTGTTTTAGAAGAAGGAGGTACGGATTCTGGACACCTGCTTAGAAGGATGTAATGTATAGTGGGCTAGTAACATTCAAAATTGTAGAGAATACGTGACAATTAAAATGCATGATGGGGCATGAAGGAAAGGCATTGTGAAGATATAATTGTGTTTCTTTTTAATCAAAATACTTATAATATCATTCATAATTTACAGTTCTTCTCTAACGATTTAATTTAACTTTCTATCATTTTTCTTTTATCAAAGTACAATATGCAGTAATGCAGGCTTAAAGTTAAACAGTCTTATAAAGTGCCATGTATTCACCTAGTCGTTTCAGTCCTTGTACTAAATTCATTTTTTGCGATTTTGGCCCGACCCGAAGAATATCTGACCTGTGACACCTCTAGTATTGAGGAAAGGTATTGCTAACAATTTTGCTAGGTGCATTTTAATGTTTTGGTGTTCACACACTGGAATGAGAGTTTAACTGTACCAATTGTTTGTTACTGTTGTTAACTTATTCATCCTAAACTTCTGTATACCATGTAGAGGTATGATAACAAGTCTTCCAATCAAATGAATTCTTATATTCAAAGTAAATAGTACCTGGTATTTTGGCCCCAGATTTGGCAAGACCTTTTTCACTAAACAGGTTTACAAACTTTGATTTCCTACTCCGTGTGCTGGCTGATGTTGTATTAGACATCATAGATTCTGTCTCAACATCTCCAAACCCCTATAAAAGATACTGAAATTATTCGCAGATTAAGACACATTCTCCCTTACTAGTTTTTCCAGAAAGAACTATTTGTTGAGGGTTGCTTACATAACATGGAATTCATGGATATACATAAATGTATATGGATAACAACGAATACTATATAATAAACCTGCATGCAGTATGTCAGTGTCATATTTGTTAAATTGAAATACATACATTCATATCTTCTATTGGTTTAGGTGTATCATCCATTCCAAGGCTTTTGAGATTCTTCTCTACATTCTCTTTAGTGAGCTGACTTCCTTCATCTAAAGCTTTCGTCTTGGTTTTAACAGCTTTATCCTTACCATGAACATATTCTATATCGTCTGACTTTCTATATACCTACAAGCAGGTAGACATAACAAAATATTATTTCCTCTTTTGATGAGACTTCTATCCTCATTTTGACTCATTTGGATTTTTTATATAGATGTGAAAATGGAGACAATTGTACTCTCACTATAGTTAAAGAAAAATAATTGTCATAAAAATATTTTATGTATGCATATATATTTATAGAAGATCTTTAGAATGATGCATAACACTTAAATTGAGGCATCAGATCTATAATATGACCTAAAGAGGGGTGACATATACAGTGGCAATCCTGTATTTAATAAAATACAGGGTATAGGGCTTTTTGACATGACAAGGAACAATACAAGTAAAAAAAAAAATTTGGAAATTTGGAAATAATTTCCAAAAAAATTTCTGTCACTTATTCTATCTTAAATAGAATGTTGTGATACCAAGTATTACCAACCTTGACATTTTCCGATGGACCTTCAACCTTTCTGGGAGGAGGTCGCCATTTCTCAAGCAACTTTTTAATAAATCTTTTGTTTCTAGGAACTGATGGCTCAAGCAAATCTTGCATGTATTCTTCAAGGTCCTTCTCTGTTTCAATGGCCAGGATGTATCTGAAAGACAAAGCACATTGTACCAAGTTAACTGTTGTATGATTTGACACAATATCCCAAGGATTAGGACATGTATTGCTGTATTGCCAATTTATAATTATATGGGTTGGTCACTGAACTACAGTCCTAGTATTAGAGCAGGAGGCAGTATAAGGCTGCAAAGGTACAACAATAGCAGGATGATAAACATGTTAGTTACTGAAAGAAAAATGGCTTTGAACTGAATTTAAACTTCTTAATGCTGAAATTGATAGTTTATCCATACATTTTAAGAAAATAGGTATGTCAAAGAAGATGTTAAGCCAAATGTTGCCTTGATAGCTCAGAAAAAGTTAAAATTTCCTATTTTCTCTCTACAGGCCTTGTTGTCCCTTTAAGGAGAAGAAACATTTATGTTTTGAGAAAGCAATGGTATTTAACACACATGTACTTCATTATATAAATTTCCAGTGCAGATTAGGTACATCAAGCAAATGATAGGAGGTCAAGAAGGAGCATGATATACATGTAGAACTAGAGACTGGGATATCAGCCATTTTTAGTCAATTTTGTGTGGTAGTAATGTGGTATTATCCTTATTGAGACCTAAGGCAAGGTTGCATGTTCTAAATTTTCCAGTTTTGCACTAAGAGTGCACTTACTTGCCTAGAAAAGACTGGTGAGAAATTTTCTTACTTTTTTCACTGAATTTTCTTGTTTTTTATACATTTTATCAAAACATTCTTCTCTACATTCTTTTCAAGGTATTCGTGCACCCGTTGTGCAAAAGTGAGAGATGTAGACATTGTGGGGAAGAGGTGATTTAAATTTGAAAAATAACATGTGGCCCTGTTGAGGGTTGTAGCAAAATTCCGAACATGCACCCTGACCTAAAACTCCACAGATATGACAAAGTGCTGACAACAGCAGTTTATCCTTGGACAATCGGCATAGCTTTTGTAAACACTTGGAATAAAGCATCCTAGGAACTTAAATTGTGTCAAAAAATTAATTAGATGGTTTGTCAAAGAAAACATATGTCAGAAGGTTGATTGTTTCAATGTTGTTCAGACAGTTGTGCAATGAAATTTTTAAAATCATAAAACTCCTAAATACTATCGTATAATACAAAGTCTAATGAAAAAATATATTACATTATCTTTGATACATATTCATTATTGTGTCTATACTTTCACACTTACTTTGCGATGTCCTCTGTGGCCTCAAATCCCAAAAGATTGGAAAGTTCCTCACAAATCCACCGGACGACGGGCGCTGACATCTTGAAATTTACCCACAATCCTCAAACACAGTCTGATTTATCTTTATGCTGAATGCACTTCCATGTGAGATTGTTTATTAAGATATTGACTCATGATATTGATTTCACAATGTGTTGTCCTTTTTATTTCCATGAAATGAACTTTATATTAGGTTAAAACGCGTTAACAGGATAATACACAGAATTTAGGTCACTTCCGGTTATTTTCGCGGGAAAAACCTGTCAGTCAATACTAAACAAGCAAGTTGAAAATATTCATTTTATCGTAATATTACTGAAGATCCACCAAATCAGAATGGTTAGAACGAAGGCCAGTAGTAGTGGAGTTAAAGGTGAGTACATGTGCACATTATCTTATATTAGCAGTACAGAGTTGTTACACTTAGATCTAGTTTTTAAGGTACAGCTGGAAAGTAACATTTTGGGAGACCCTATCTGTTGCAAGACTAACGCCTGGCGTAACCGTCACCATGTTATTCAGTGTTTTTTAAGTAGCGCAAGGATCCTGCCATGACCGTGGTAATGTTATCGTGAAAGCCTGGTATAACCGCGACAATGCTGTATTATATTGCAATGCCTGGTATGACCGTGACAATGTAATATAGTTCTGCAAGGCTTGGTATGACCGTAACAATGTAATATAGTACTGCAAGGCCTGGCATGACCGTGACAATGTAATATAGTATTGCAAGTTCAGGTATGAGAGTGGTAATATAGAAATTTACGATTTGGACTGCTATAACCGTGACAATGTGTATTGCAAAGCCTGGCATGACCATGGCAATGTAATATAGTATTGCAAGGCTTGGTATGACCGCCATGGCAATGTGATATAGTATTCCAAGTTCGGGTATGAGAGTAGTAATGTAGAAATTTATGATTGCTAATTGACCGTGACAATGTGTATTTGAAAACCTGGCATGACCATGACAATGTATTATGGGATCGCAAAGCCTGGTATGACCGTGACAATGTAATATAGTATTGCAAGGCCAGGTTTGAGGGTGGTAATGTAGAGATTTAGGCTTGTTCTACTATGACCGTTATAATGTATTGCAATGACTAGTAAATATGTATGACATTAATGCCAGGAATATCCTTAACAATTTTAAGTGATCCTCATTACAATTAAACAGTTTAATACTATGATCACGGTGTTTAACTACCTTAATCATGTCAAAATCAAAATTACTACTATACAAAATATTCACATTCGCTTATAAGCCACAATAAAGGCTACGGTCGCGCCAGGCTTCCACGATAACACTTCCAGGGTCATGACAGGCCTTGCAATAGAATACAGCATTGTCACGGTTATATCAGCCTGTCACGGTTATACCAGGGTTACACGATAACACTACCACGGTCATGGCAGGATCCTTGCGCTACTTAAAAAACACTGATTAACATGGTGACGGTTGTGGCAGGCGTAAGTCTTGCAATAGATAGCATGTGCATTTTGGTAAAAAATTGCTATACCTGCACATGTTATTTTCTGGTACAAAATAAAGTATGAAGGCATGAATCAATTTCCTTGCTTTTTTCAGGAAAGTATCATTACATTGTCTTCTTTTAGAATATCTGGTAGGCGTTCAAAGGGAACTCCAGGGAATTCTGATATTCCACACTTCCTGTTTTTCCAAATTTTCTTTCAAAGTTTCCAGACAACACAGGAGCTACCATTGACCTGTTTCCAGGTTTACTAAAAGTAGACAGTGTAATGATACTTTCCTGAAAAAAGCAAGGAAATACACACATGCCTTCATACTTAATTATGTACCAGAAAATAACATGTGCAGGTATAGCAATTTTTTACCAAAATGTTACTTTCCAGCTGAACCTTAAAATCTAAAAATGATTTGGCCTAGATTGAAGAGAATGGAATTACAGTCGGAGACATTAATAAGCCTCAACCATCAAAAGTTGTCACAATTAGCTAAATTCTAAGTTTCATGTCTCAAACTATCCCAAGCGATAGAAAAATAATTCCTGTTCACTATAAGTAGCACAATAAATGAATCCAAAGCTTCAGACCTGCAAATGATGGATAAATTCGTACCAAATGGAACGAATGTTTTCATGAATCGCCATGTTTGTGATCAAAGGAGGATTGACTCCCAGAATAAAACATTAGTTAACCTTATTTACTCATGACTAGTGTTGTCACGTTGGCCATAATCGTACATCGATGCATCGGCAATTTTCAGTAGTAAACATCGATGTACATCAAGAAAAAGTCCGAGATAAGTGCACTGAAATACCGAACACTAATGCACTAAAATACCGAACAGAACAAATTAATAAGAGTACGCTGGTACATCCGGAAAGTCAATTTTTTAGATTAATGGTTAATTTTGATGAACTAAAAACGTTTTAAAGGGAAAGAATGTAAGAAAACATTGGAAAATGAAATAAGACATGAGAAAGATAAGAGATTTGCTTCAAAATAAGATAAGAAAGGGTGATTTTTATCAAATTAAATTTTTTTTAAAAACATCGATGTTTTGTTTCAGACATCGATGCATCGCATGAATCAGCTTTGGCGATATATATCGCGATGTGTCGATTAATCGCGATAACACTACTCATGACAGGTTTCAAAATGGCGGAACTGCATTTTGAAAGCTGGCACGTGTCATATTGCATTCTGGAGCCAGTCCTCCGTTGCGGTGTAATCGGGTTGCAAAATCACCTCAACATTTGAAGAGTCAGCATTAACATGTGAATATCAGTTCAAATTTTTAAGTTCCTATTTGTCATTATGGACACAAATTCCACTATATGTGTACGTTCCGGGATGGAGAAATTAGAGCACTTGTGACAGAATGTCTTTTTCATAGTGTTAGTAATTATTTATGCCTAGGCTGATGGAAGAACTGTTGACTCGTGGACTCCAAATATTAAGCGCAAAATCATCCAAAAGTGAAAAATCGTGTTGCTTGAAGAACCCAAATTGAATTGAAAAATGTTGGTGTTAAACAATCACACGTGGGAAATTCTTCTATGATGTCACTCTTCGTTAATTTACATAGGATATCACATCTCACGATAGTAAGTCGATCAGTAAAAGTTGATTTGTCAGTTTATACAATAACATAAAACTGTTCAAATTTTTGAAGAAAAGCGATGTAAATCTAAAAAAAGTACTGTACAGTAGAACCTGTATATCTGAACACCTGGCTTATCCGAACACCTCCCAATCTGAACACTTTTTTTCGGTCCCATTTTTCCTCCCATTGACTCCCATGTTAAAAAAAACCTTAAAATGTGAACACCTCCCAATTTGAACAGTGAACAGTCATATTTGAAAATTCACCTGTCTAATCTGAACACTTTTCATAAAATTTCTGATGTTTTATACAAAATTGCTCAAATTTTGTCATGATATCAAAACTTTGGGAAATAATCTTGAATGGTCTCATTCATAATGGGGCTTTCCAGCATGATTAGATTCATTTGAATCAAATTTTCAAATTTCTGGAATGCCATGAAGGTATGTGGTCAAAAGAACTTTAAATACTTACCGAGAATGTGTTCACATTTCTTCAGAATCCGGATTATTGAAGATGCAAAAACCTCAAAATGTGAACACCTCCTAATCTGAAAGTTTTTATCCGGTCCCAATGGCGTTCGGATTAGACAGGTTTTACTGTACTTATATTTTTATCTACCATATTCTCAGTGTTCTGATTGGTTAAGGCTAGATTGAAGTCCAACCTCTAAATCAAAGAGTGAAGAAGAATCTCTCTTTTCAGAAGTGCGATCAAATTATTGGAAAGGGAAATAATTATGCTGCTATTTCAGCTTATCTTAGCCCTTTGAAAATTTATCATTATCTGACTTATCACCTTTTGTTGATAATCAACTAACAATGTTCGATTGTGTTTTTCAGCGGTAGCAGCAAAAGCACCACGTAAAGCTTTAGGTGGTGGCGGTGGGGGAGGTGGTGCAGGACCATCAGGCTTTGGCTCACCAAAAGCAGGTACAGAACCAATCAACATTATTTCAGTTGTAAATGAAACCCGTCAGACAACCATTTTATATAAGCTTTGAACAAAGGCATATTGATTTGAATTTCTATTACAGGCAGTTTTGCAAAAATAGACGAGATAACCTTGACTTATTCCTCTTTTGGTCACCCATCTCTTTCTCTCAGTAAGAACTAAGAACCATGAAATGCAATGAAATATAATGTTACAAGGAGCTAAAGGGATTTGTTTCCAATTGTCAATATGTTGTACAAAATGAATTAATCAAGATACATGTAGCTAGAAAACTGTTCACCCATTCAACTTGAAAAATTGAAGAGAGTAGACTACTAGAATAAGCTAGTACCAAGATCTAGTTAGAGTAATTTACAAGTTGACTATTTACATTTCATTTTTCATAGTTCCAAATTTTGATATATTACAAACTTACACCCCTTGTGTATTTTTGCCACATTTTTCACAACTTTATTTACACGGTTTCTTTAGGTAAGCCTGGGAAATATGATGGCGGAAATGGGTACTGTCCTAGACCAACACCCGACTGGCAGAAGGGAATCGACAACTTCTTCACAAAGAAACCTAGCAAAGACAAAGAGAACGAGAAACCGGAAGATCCTGATGAGCCTGATGCTAAGAAATTGAAATCTGATGATGAAGATATTGCAACTGAACCAAGTTCCTCTAAGTAAATACAATAACATTACATATTCTTTTGATTTCCCTCTCTAAGCAGAACTCCATTAGCTGTCAACTGTAAATGTATATACTGGGTGTTTCATATGTATGCACCCCCCCCCATAAACTGATACATGTAGCATTGATACTCTATCATATTATATATCATTTGTTCCTCATGGAAAGTTATATAAAAATGCAGTTTCAGAATCCAGTGATGTCCCTGATGAAAAAAGATACAACATATCAAAGTATGTGGGTACGGGTCATTTAGAGGAGAACTTCTGGTCATTTCGAAGGCAATTTGAAGAAAAAATTTAGTTTCCGTGTTGCACATTTCTAGCAGTTCTCATCATGGCAGAGTTCAGTCAACACGTGTGTGACAGTTATTCACAAAGATTTATAGATAGGATTCATGCAGTGGCAGATAAGGAGGTCAGGGACCCTAGTGTGACCTTTATCACTAAAAATGGTTAGCAGACAAAATGAAGAGATCAAAAATGACCTGGAATTGTCCTCTAAATGACCTTGTACCCGCATACTTTGATGCATTGTATTTTTTTCAGGGACACCACTGGATTTTGAAACATTGCATCCTAGTGTAACTTTCCATGAGGAACAAAATGATATATAGCATGATAGGGTAGCAATGCTACATATGTGAGTTTATTGGGGGGTTCAAACATATGAAGTACCCTGTACATTCATTATGTCTCTGTTTTTAGATATATATGTTTGCTGTGCCTCTGTATCTCTCCATTCCTACTTTACCTTCAGAGGTAGATAAGCCAAGGCTTATAGCCAGCTTTTGCCAAGGGGATTCACTTTCTAAAATATTCCAGGGGTTTCACATTTGACTACTTTGGCTCAAATTATTTGAAACGTACTCAGAGTGGTGAAAACTGCATGATGCTGAATAAATGTCTTGCCAGGTCCGCTCAAAACCATCGAAATGTTATATTCATGAAATTTAGATCATTACAAAAATAACATGTCATTGCTTACAGAACATTAAAAAATAAAATAAAAAAATTCCTTGTTCCAGGTCATCTGAGGAAGCCACCAATGAAGAGACAGAAAATGTTGAAAAAGACAATGATATTGCAGCAGAAGAAGAAAAAGAGGACAATAAGGAAAGTGACGATGAATCTGAATCTCCTGTGAAAACTAGAAAACCTTTAATTGAAAGTGATGAAGATGAATAGGGGTGCCATTTCAATGAAATATGTTGATATATCGAAGGAGCAATTCATTATTATTACTGTATGTAATTATTGTCAGGGATATTTTCTGTAATGAATCAGGGATGCTATCTGCTGAGCCATTAAACCTCAATGAATTAAAACGCACGATGGGAATTCTTAGCATTTCTACAAATAGTGCTTCCAAATTACAGTAAAACCTGTTCACCTCTATAATTAGAACATTTGAAAAATGTCCAGTTACCATTAACTGAATCTCTGTATGTTGAACACCTCCAATGTGGAGCATTATTTTGAGGTACCAATGGTGTTCCACTTACACAGGTTTTACTGTATCTGTGTGTAAGCGGTGGTAAATGCATTCAGTTAGGTGAAGAATACTGCAACTGATTTCTTCGGAGTCTCAGTGTGTCTTCAAATGAGCTGAACCCCATGGCGCGTTTTACTTCAGTATGACCTATTAATACATGTGTACATGTATTATGAAATTATCATTAGTTATGGATACTGGACTACTTTATAGATTTTTCAAGCTTGATTTACGATTAAGGTATGCTTACTGGAACTACTTATGTACCTGTTTGCACAAGATGTCCATATGCAAAGTTTGCAAACATACATGAAAATGTGAATTGGTCGTTTACTTGTTCAATCAGGCCTACCTTAGTACATAATAAACTGCATGTAATGAGGAAAATTGTAAATATTATTTCAAAATGTACTTTCACTCATGTAGAGCTTGGATTTGGATGACTAGTGTGTGTCCGGTATATCCTTGCACACAGGTTTCTGGCTTGATCGTGAAATTAAAAGTTTTGTTCTGTTTCAATATTGAATAAAAACTGTATTCATTTGTGTCATATGAATCTTTTATTAGCCTGTCATATGTAACTGTCAGGTAAAATAAATATTATACAAAATATCAACTACTTTGCGCTTTGGATCAGTTTCCTTATTATATAAACAAAAAGCAAGGTACTTTCTTTTAATTAACTTGCTAAATCTCCCCCCCACTTAAAATGTTAGCAACATGTTACACCAGTACACTGTCAATTAATTTTCATACATATTCTATTTTTATGTCGCCACCACAAGTGATGACATATTGTTATAGCCTTCAACTTATTTGTGGATGGTGTTTGGTATTCAGAGTTCATATATGTAACAAATGGCAGGTGATGACATTTTGCTGTTTCTAAATATCAAAGCTTGACAAGAATGTTCATGTCACCTAAAGTATTACTACACTATTGCATCGAAAAATTCTATGAGAAACTCCTTTCTTTTAGTGCTCAATTTTTTATCTTTATGCCACTTACATTAAGGAAGTGAGCAAAAATTTTCTCAAGCATTGATGTTTGTAGAAAATAAGTTCATGGTCCATATTAAAGGGTGCTACAATTAAATGTGTGTACAATGAATATGAAGATGCTACAAAAGTATTACCATGGGAATACAACATCTGTAAAATAGTAATAACTTTAGTACTGTAGATACAATTGATTTGGCTACCATTTTAATTTGAAAGATTGGTGGATTGAAATTTTTAAAATCTATTTTGGAAAATCCCCAGGGAATTTGTAATTTGCAATTATCACTTGTGTAAGTATTCCTATTTGGATGTCAGTGCTATACCAAGACTGTAAGTAGAAAACATGAATCTGAAATGCTTTCTTATCAGATCAATGATAAAACTGGAGTTCAATCCTAAATCCACCAAATTAAATATCTGCCAATATTTGAAATTGAGCGAATCCGCCAAATTAAGTAGCGTCAAAATAAAGTAATCTTTGTCAGGTTTATTTGAAAGTTATCAACATATTTTACATTTAAATATCCCATTGTGAGAGGAATTTCTTGTAGGATCATGAGTTACTTAAGTCCCCATGAAGATATAATCGCTTTTGAGATCTGAAGTATCTAAAGTCCCCATGAAGGTGAATCGCTTGTAGGATCATTAGTGTCCAACTCTGCATCATCTGGAGAATCTGCAGCATCAATCATATCAGTATCTAGTTCATCATCATTACTTTCACTATCCTCATCATCATCTGCTTCATCATCTTCGTCTTCATCATCATCGTCGTCAAATGTTCCTTCACTTGTTTTCCCTATGGGAGTAATGTCACTGCCTCTATCTCGGATCCTTTGAAGCCATGTATTATGTTCCTCTTCAAGTTTAGAAAGTTCATTCTCATCATCGCACGGCTTGTCCACATTGAACCAAGCTGAGTCAGAGGGATGAGGAAGGAGAGATGGAAAAAGTGGTCTAGACATGATATCAATTGTTTAAAGTTGATATTCAGTGATTAGTCCTTATTTGGTTGTTATCATTCACTTTGTTGTGAAGTTGATTACATGGAGTTGGTTGCTCTAGATCTGAAACAAATATATAGAAATCTTGTTAGCTCACATGGTGAGCTTTTGCAATCTATGCTGGGAATGGTTGGAACCAATTTTCCCGTTATAAGCATTTGGATATTCATCAAAACACTCTCAATTGATGCAAACTAGACTGTTCTAGCACCATTTTTAACCCTGTGTTAAAGGGAGGTTGTGATCTGAGAGCATTCTTGAAAAACGAAACATGAAAAAACGTGACATTTTGTGTTTTGGGAAAGAGAGATTAGAAGATCGTTATTACTGCATTAAAATGAATATTGTAATGAAATGGCTTATAAGAGCGAAGGAACGACCATGGCTGATATCGAAGTCGAAAGAGTGATCTTGTACAGGCCCGTAGCCAGGGGGGGTTCGCAGGGTTCGGACGAACCCCCCCCCCCTGACCAAAAATTCTTTCAAAATCATGCAGTTTTTCACCATTTTGAGCACTTCTCAAGTGATTTTAGCCATATTTGGGCCAAAATTGTCAAATGTGAACCCCCCCCTGGAAATTTTTGAAAACTGAACCCCCCCCTTGGCAAATCCTGGCTACGGGCCTGTTGTATGACCATGGGCTTTCAACTAGAAGGGTAGGCAACTTCCCATATTTCATACATAAACATTGCCATGGGTTTTCAAAATTGGAGAATGTACACATTCCAAGAAAATCTTATTTTGTACTTTTTATTGATGATTAAAAGAAATAACTCAAAAATAAAAACATGATCTTCCACATACATCTTGATAATTTAATAAAAATTGGAATTCATCATAATTATGACAATACAGAAAGTGAACATTCTCCCACAAATTATGTTTTTATTGGAATGTGTTTTTGAATAATTACCCAGAATGCAATACTTAAAGAGAACATCTTGATAACTCTTATTCTTATTGGTCTCTATTGTTTACTTTTATATGATATTGAATATATTTTATGCTTAAATCATATTAAAAATTGATTTTTATTCAAAATAATACTAAAACATATATAGTTGGGGACAAAAATAAATGACAGGTCGATTTTCGATCACCATTTCTTAATTATGGTGGTCTGAAAGCCCATAATTTCCAATATTGTCTAGATATATATCCCTTAAAATTTGTATATTTTACATTTTGTATAATCTCATCCACTGATGTATGGCCTCTTGTAAATTCTCTTATTTTTAACATGGGAAATCCTCACTTCAGCAAATCCACCTGTCATTTATTTATGTCCCCAACTTTACATTTATCTAATACTTTTTGAAATATTGCCATAAAAGGGAAGCATGTCATTGTTCATTTTGAAGGTCTCATGTTATTACATAGAGTTGCATACCCTTCTAGTTGAAAGCCCATGGTATGACCATGGACTTTCAATTAGTCTCCCAAAATTGCCGGACACTCAAGATTACATTATTGAACTTGGAGAGAAGTATAGATCATAATTTGGGCACATGATCCCAAAAACGGTTGATCCATACATATACATTATGATCTAAGCTTAGAGTTTCAGTCTAATTTCTTACCTTTATTTTTTTCACAGTTAGATCTATTTGAGATTTTGATCTTAGACTTAGTGGCTCACATTTACTGCCTTATAAGGTTGATGACTCATACATTGTGATATTTAATTTCAAAATGATCTATTTGTTCATAAATTTACAATCCCAAATATCGGATTGCTTGCGTGATTTTCCAGCAATGCAGAGAACTTGTATATAAAATATTCAAAATCAATTTTCAAAACCATCCGCCATTTTGTCCAAGGTCACGTGACACGCCATAATTAAATAGTGAATTATTGCTTATTCTCCAATCTTTTTAACTCATTTTTTGTATCAAATAATTCATTTCACATGTCTGCATCGTATTATTTGATTAAGCCATTTGATTGAACCTCTATAGTAATCTCATAAAGTGGTGTGTCTTGACCCAATTAATTTTATTCACTCCGTAGACGAAAATAAAAAAAATCTGAAAAAGTCTTGAAAATGACTCAAGTGCCAGAAAAGGACGTTTTGTACGGCAGAAAACTGAAAGAGTTATTCAAAACGCTACGATCGAGTGCCATAGATAATGCAGAATACTTTCAATCCAACTCTACGGATACAAACGTCAAGTTTTACAAGATATTTTGTGCAATGCATGAACATCTCGATGTGGGAGTTGAACCCTCAGTTGAATTTATTCTAAACATTGCTCATGCATTTGATTTTAAGCCCTCAGTTCCAGCAAATGGATATCGTAGTGTAGTCAAAATTGTTGAGAAATGCTGCTTACATTTGGTTCAGCTCACACGTCATATTACTGTAAACCGGGGCACTTTTATGTTCCGTAGTATTCGGGGCACTCATTATGTTAAAGAACTGGACGCATATGTCAAAGTATTGACTCAGCTAAGAGCCGTGCTCCATTATCTACAAAAACTGGTATCCTATTGTAAGGATGGAGATTTGTTTGCTCAAGAAGAAATGTTAAAGGATGAAGCAGCTGAGAAGTTGCTGGTAGAATCTGAGGGATTGGACCAAGAGGCGTTCTATGGAAGATGTGTGGGATTTCAGGTATGGCTCACTAAACTCAGCTGTTACCCAGCAGACATAGAACCTCCATAGACTATTTAAAGTAATGTTTATTCCTTATGACGATAGTTAAAGATCTTCATGTTGATATAAATGTAAATGATTGAAAATTGCTGTTGATACTGTACTTTCTCGTGATGTTTTCTTTGCTGTTTTATTTGTAACACATATCACAGTTATTTTCTCATGTGAATTGCTGTTTCTTCTCATTAATTTTGAGAAATTTGAAAACACAAGAAAAATGCCTATAAATCATATGTTACTAATAAACTAGAGATAAAATCTGAAAGGTGAGTTGGCTCAGAAGAGTAGATATGGCAGATGCACCATAATGTGAATCAAATTAAATAATTTTGAATGACTGGAATATTCTTTTTATCAGTCAAACTATCCAACTTATTAATGTTGGGAGCAAGGTCCTTGATAATTTGTAAGGAACTATTGGAACACTTTAAGGATGTTATGGAAAAAAATTAATTTGGGATACAACGAGACGGAAAATATTTTGTATACAAGGGTTGTCCCATCTTGTTCGGTCCCGAGACCACAGTCCCAAAGGGCTGGACGATATTGGGAAATCATGACATTCCTATGAAACACCTTCAAAAACATAAGTTTATGAGACTCCTTGTTTTCATGACAATTCATTAGATAGGCTATGAGGTCATAATATGTAAGAAATGCTGGAACCCCTTGATAAAGCCCCAATTATTTTTGGCCCTCCTTGACATAATTCCTTTTAAGTATCAGTGATGATTCATAATTAAGGAACTTAATCCTCTAAATAAATAAACAAAAACAACTTATCTCTCAAATATTTACATGGTCCTATTTATTCACATTCACTTCCAGTTGACTCCTGGTATCTGAATACTAGAGCAAGCAAAATAACCTTTAGTTGGTACATGTGTATCCAAATCTACATATTGTCCTGATATAAACTTAGAAACATTTTCTGATCTAAAATGTAATCTCTCCTAGCAAAACAGCTGCATCTTCAGGGCCATAGCCAGCTTTCAGTTAGGGGGGTACATGCGATTGCCAAAATTTTCAGTTTTCAATCAGAAGGGGGAGGGGGTGTGATCGTGGCATAAGTAAGGCAAACCCCCCCCCCCTGGCTATGCCTATGATCTTGTTGAAAATTCAAATGAGAATTGTAGTTGTTGAAAATTTGCTTGAACTCTGTTAAAAAGATGAAATAAAATTTTGGTGAACTTAGAAATTTAAAAAAAAACTGTATAGTACTGTGATCTCACCAGCATTAAAGCAAGTGGGCGTAGCACCCTTCTGAGATTTTAAAAACAGGCTTGCACCCACTTGAAAATGCATTTGCACCTACTTGATTGAAAACAAGAAAATAGGCATTTTTTAACCAATTTAGATCTTTATTGTGAAAATGAAAATTTTGCACCCATTTGACAAAAAATCCTGTGGAGCTATGTTTACCTTTTAATCTAATATATATTTATCTATTTGAAACATTCTTTGAAGAACCCTGACTATCAACCTTTAATACCAACCTTTAGATACAGTCTAAAGGTAAATTTTGAAGATGAACTTTGTTTAGCTCATTGAAAGGACATTTAAGTACACAATATGTCATACCCTTTTAATTTAGTTCATGAATTTAACAGTAACACATGCATGTTTAATGTTAAATTGCATTATAAAATTGAATTGATTTACTTGTAATAACTCCCATGGAGAGGTATTTTAAAATGTATGACACAAGCTTACATTTCCTACTTGAACTGTTTAAACTACATGTTAATTCAATGAGAACTCTAATGGGTGTGAAAGGGTTGGGTCTGTGTGTCCTGAAATGGGCTTCACCAATAAGTTATTACGATTTAGATACTGTAGAAATATGCATGTTTTATTTATCTTTTTGAGTGTTTAGGACAGAGGTGGAAATCTTGAATGATGAGATAATATTTTTATCATGACACAAGATTATAACAAATATGAAAGTCCAAGTTGTTGAATAATTTATAGTTATTTTATATTCTTTATTGGCAAATTAGCATTTCTAATATGTAGTGTGTGAGTGTGGTATAAAATCAGGATTTTTGACTTTTGTAAAAAAATGAGTTAGATATTCATTCAGAATATAAAGACACTCACATTTGGAAAGGCCCAACTTGAGAGATTTTGGCACAGATTAACAAATCAAAGAATCTGAGTCAATATCCACCCTCACCCCCCCCCCCACCTTATTGGGGGGGTGAGGGTGGATTCCATTTGAATCTTTGTTTACATTATGTAATCTTGTTTACACTATGCAATATATAAAATATCTGTGTTCTGTGTAAAACAAATAGGATTCATTATCTATAATTGTTTGAGCTGCATGTTTACTTATTTACGAAATTAATAATATATTGATTGCACTGATAGCAGCTTGAAGTCATAACAAACTACATTATGTTGCAATATTCAACTCAGTAAGATTTTTTCTTAATTTTTGATATTCCCACTCTCAATCCTAATGTACTGAGAATTCAAACTCATTTCGATATTTAATAAAGAAACGCTCTAATAAGCAGAGTCAGTAGAAAGACCTGTTGTAACTTGACAGAATACATGTATAGTTCAGGCCCGTAGCCAGGGGGGGGGGGGGTTCCGGGGGTTTGGGCGACCCCCCCCCTGGCCAAAATTTCTTTCAAAATCATGCAGTTTTTCACCATTCTGACTAATTTTTGAGTGATTTTTGCCCATATTTGCCAAAGTGAACCCCCCCTAGAATTTTTTTTATAAAAACGAACCCCCCCCCCCCTTAGAAAATTCTGGCTACGGGCCTGTAGTTTTTGGTCTTAATTTCTGATCATTATATTTTATACTTTACGCATATGTTATATTTTATGTATGTAAGCAGAACCTACACATGTACATTTAAAATTACATCAACAAAAAAACTGATTGCTTTTCCAGTTTTGCCAGTCTATGCAGAGGCCTCTGCAGGTGATTGGTGTTGCCATGGCATCATTCAGTGAAAGCTACCAGGAGTCCTCGTCATTTTTACAGTTTGCCAACTCATTTATCAACAGTGGAAAATATCTATTAGACCCAGAACTGCGGGCTAAACAGGTCAGACTTTCTTTAATTTTGTAGGCACCAAGTCTCATAACATGGGATTCCTTTTACCATTAAAATTATGTATTTTGGGCAAACTTTAGAAAAAGCATCCCTCTTATTTGATTGTCATGAGCCTTAGTATTAATAACATTATGTAATCAGTATTTGGTCATCAGTCATATCATCAATCATAACTTCACATCCATTCATGTCGCCACCCATACATTAGTTGAAACATATTTCAATTTTGGTTCAGTATTTATTTGTGAATGGCAAGTTGATAAAAGTAAAGTAAAGTAAAGTTGATAGCAATTTATTTTCAAACTTTGCATGGGGTCTTTAATAAAACCTTTATTAAACGTAATGAAACTTAAATAAATGAAATTATTTCAGATTGTTTCTATTACAAGGAACTCCACAATACAGTTCTGCAAGGCATTCTGGGGAATCACAGATACTGATGTTTTACATGTAAGTTAAATCCCATAATTCTCTTAGACATGGAACAGTCCTAGAAATTGCCCTGGGTCTTCATTTATTGAGGAACTTTTGCACATCCATGATTTATCCTAACATCTTACATCCAAAAGAGTAATCCATAAAATTGATCCAATATAAATCTAAGAATTTATAGTACTCTCAAATTGTCATTTTTATGTATTCAACAGTAGTCTTTTTATTGATAATCTGATAAAAAATCATATGATATGAATTCCATGTTTTTTATTTCTTATTGCAGCAATTGCCAATGTTAGCCTGCCCAGCTGTTGAGGTAGATCATATGATTAAAATCCCAGCTGAGCCTTTAGATGTGTCACGTCGTAAAGGTCGTGAGAAGTTGACAGTGCTGCCACCTAGTGCACACAATGGTCCAGGTCCCGTACATGTCAGACTTATATCTTATGAACTGAGGAAAGGCCAGGTAGGTGTGATGTCATGGTTTATCAACTGAATCTGCTTTTATATGGACAATTCTATGAATGCACTCTTTTCTGATGTTAAGAGATTTTATTTGAAAAACTACATAAATGCTTAATCATTACACAAAATCAGTCGAATATTGTTGCCGATGGCTTAGCTGATGTTTAGTGCTTCCTAACATGAGTTAATCTTTCTCTATAATGAACAGTATTTATATTTCAGTTTCCTATAGATAAAACCACCACTAGGGAGAGCAAGGTTCACCCTAAGTCTCCTTGTTTACTTGTACATTGTCACGGTGGAGGCTTTGTGGCACAATCATCCAAGAGTCACCAGGTATAGTTTCTGAGGTTTAACTCTTATTAGCCTACCATCAAATATGCTAAAATTGAACCCAGTGAAATGGTCCAGACTGATAAGGGTTAAGAGCGCAAGAATATGAATTTATTCAATGACAAAAAGTGGCCCAAGTAGTTAAGTTGCCTTGAGAGGTTCAAATCCATGTTCCTTATGTCAACTGCAGCCCATTTTTAAGAACAATATGAGTTATATAGAGATTACTGAACTCGTTTGAGTGTTATTACTTTTCTATATTTTTTAGCGTATTTCTACAATTGTGAATGAGCTATTTTTAATTAAAATTAGAGGAATATGAAATATTATATGGTGGATTGAAATGAATATCTTCATGAAATTTACGTAGGCCTGGATTATTTTAGGTCTATTTAAGGCACTGGGCCAAGGACCTGGGCATACCGATAGTGTCTATAGACTACTCATTGGCGCCAGAAAGTCCCTTCCCTCGGGCGTTGGAGGAAATATTTTTCGCATATTGTTGGATTCTCAATAACTTTCATCAGTTAGGTAAGTTGAAACAGGCCCGTAGCCAGGATTTGCCAGGGGGGTTCACTTTTTTAAAAATTCCAGGGGGGGTTCACTTGTGACAACTTTGGTCCAAAAATGGCCAAAATCAATTAAAAAGTGCTCAGAATGGTGAAAAACTGCATGATTTTGAAATAATTTTTGGCCGGGCCTTGGAAAGAAAACACACTGCAAATAACAGCTCAATTAATTTTTTTCATTCCTATTTAACAAGTAGAAATTCATATCAATCAATAATATGTTTGTTTGGATTTCTTTCACAGGTACTACGGGAGAAAGGATCTGTTTCGCTGGTGACAGTGCTGGTGGAAACTTAATGATCTCTACCACTCTGGCTTTGATAAAGCGTGGATTAAGACTCCCAGATGGTCTGATGGCAGCCTACTCTCCTGTCTTAGTTCGCTACATCCCCAGTCCCTCTAGAGCCCTCAGCATTATGGACCCCCTACTACCTGTTGGTATCCTACTTAGATGCCTAGCAGGTGGGTGTGGCTTTATTTAAGGTTGAGTCCATCTTTTTTCAGCAAGTCAGACAAAAAAAAAAGAAGCTTTATAATATAAGTACTTGTGTATACTTTAAAAAATATATTCATGATATTCAAGATATTATATTCACTGTATTTATTATTCTAGCAAAATGAGCACCAAAAAAAAATTAAAAATTCAAGTGACTTTTTCTGACTGATTTAATGAGGAATATACTTATATATATAATAATGTTATTCAAGAATATTTCATGTGTCATTTTAGCTTACTCAGGGTTTGCCGATCCAACTGACACTAAAGATGCAACCATGACAACAGAACAGCATAGCAACAACAACGATGCAAATAGCAATGCAACAACTAATGCAGACTTCTCAATAGACAGTGCTTCAGATGACGATACCATCAGTGATGATCAAGAGGATGTGCTATTTGAAGCAACTGCAAGGAGGAACTCTCCACCCGCAGCTGTACATAAACCTTCTCCAAGCAGAGCTCAATCAAAATCTCCAGTCAAAGAACAAGATCAATCTGACCCAAGTATGAAATCCAAATCCATAGTTGACACAAACAAACTGAAAGTCACACATGACAATGTTAATAAATCAATTGACAAACCTTCAAATGATAAATCAAATTCTGTTGCTAAAGGAGCCAGGAGATCACCTGCTTCTCCAAGCAGAATGCACCGAGTAAGCTCTGCCATGGCGAGTCTTGGAGAACTGGAGGAAGGGCTTCAAGATCTTGATACATATACATCAGACATGCCCCAAAATGCCATAGATGAAGACAGTTCAGAATCCAAGATTGACCAAGTGATAAGAAAGGACATCAATAAATCTTCACCATTTCCTGAGGTGGATAGTGGCAGTATAACAAAACCGACCAAAAGTATAAAAATTCAAAGTCTACCATTGAATACACATGGTAAAAATGGCCTAACGAGGCACCAAAGATCAACTTCGTACCATAACTTTAATTTTCCGAGTAACCTCTCCAGTCCCTCTAGTCCAAATTCAGATGATTATTTTCGAATGGAGTTTGAATTGGAACAAGACCAAGCTAGACAACCTTCAACGAGTCCTCTGCAGCAGTTACGACATCTGCCGATCCCAAACAACCCATTTATGTCTCCATTGTTGGCCAGTGATGAACTTTTGAAGCAATTCCCACCAGTTTTTCTTGTGGTAAGAATCTGTTTAACATTTTCTTTTAGTTATAAGACACTTTTTTCTTTATTAGCTCTTATTCCGTTAAAAATTACAAGAATTTAATTAATTTTCAAGCACATTATCACTTCTATTAAACACTATAATTTTTATGAATATTGATTTTCAAGCATGATTATATTTCAGTATTGTTGTTTTTGGTGATGGCATTTCATGGCGAGGAGCATTATGATGAAATCCAGCTTTAGTCCCGTACTATCATAATATAACCCTACACAGTGATATCCCCGGGATTTTTTTCTCAGGAGGTCGCTAAATCCTAATTTTACCTGTTTTGTTCAAAATAATAATGTTTCCCCATGGTCCTAACAAATTTTCAACAAGGTAGGGATGGAATGGTTGCTGAAACTGTCCAATTTCTAGGTGCTAGGCTTCAGTATCGGAAATTTTTTCAATATATTTTATTGCCATTAATTAGTCAAGTACTGAACATACATTGGGGACCCAGTGGCTTGTCCTTCAATGTAGTATTTATGATTTGCATTTTAAATGGAGTGTGGGGGCTGCTGCCTCTGCCTATGGGGTCCTGGGAGCATGGAAGCTCATTTTTGGAATGGAGCAAGACATTATTTCAGTACTTTTCCCCAAATTAGATCCAATCCTTGGGAGATCACTGCTGTATATCATCGTCATGATATACCCCTATATGATAAGGTTATTCCTGTGCTTACAGGCTTGTACACTTGACCCCATCCTTGATGATAATGTAGCTTTTGCTAAAAAGCTGGAATCCCTGGGTACAAAGGTGTGTCTGGATGTGGTGAGAGACCTCCCCCATGGCTTCCTAAACTTTACTCTAGTCAGCAAAGAGGCAAAGCTTGCAGGAGATATATGTATCACAAGAATTAGAAGCATCTTTGTGCAATAGTAAGAGTCAGTGTGATTGGCTGTTAGTGTTTGTATCGCAAATCCTGATTGGTCAGTTTATGACCAACGAGATGCAATATTGTGTGTATCTCAACCAATGAAAGATAGGCTCATAGCAGGTCCAAGATTTGGTGGTTGTACAATCGAGTAGATACTGTGTAAAGCATATGGAGCATATATCCTAAATGACAAGAAATTGACTGAGAATTCTATTAAGAAGACTTTTAGGGGAGGCATCAAAAGTTCAATGTCTGATAGGAAACTAAATGAAAGGTCCGCAATCAACTTTCACGGCATTTAGTTTCAGGGGGAAGGGGGTCAAACTCAAAACTAGATTAATTTAGTTTCCTATCAGACATTGAACTTTTGATGCCTCCCCTTGTGCAACACTGATCGATTAAGGTGGAAATACATAAAGCAAGTGTATGATGACCTCATATTCTCTCCTCCCTGAAATGCAACACTATGATAGATTAAGGTGGGAATAGACAAAGCAATCTTAGGATCATCTCATTATGCTGCTCTCAGATTAAAATAGCCATGACCTATATGCAAAAGGCACACATAAATAAGCCATATATTTTATTTGGATTTGCCTACCTTTATTATTAAGACTAGTAGCTGTATTCTATAATTATATTCACTTGTTTTACTACCTGATATTTGTATTATAGCATTCACATTTTAATTAAAGTTTTATTTCTGTTTCAATTAATTGCAGACTGTACATGTGTAAGTGGTATTTATGTATAGTGTTTATGTATTATTTATTGCAGTACATGATATATTTTACATATTTTCTTTGAAATTACACTCACCTTATTCAAATATTTTGTATTTGTATGTAAAAAGTGTGTACTTAAAATGTATGTTCTATATGTCAAAAATGTGCAATATATGACTTACATATCATATGTGTAATGGATATATGTTAAAATACTTGTACTCATTTTGATAAGTGCATTCTTTGCACTTAGAATAGCTTCAGTTGATTATTTTGCTTTGTGAGTATTTTGTAAAATAGTTCTACTAGGTTTTTCCAACAAACAGGCCATAGTTTCTTTACAACTTATAACTTTTTGGACACTCTGTTATTCAGATGCACCTGTAATTTAAGTAGGGTGCTCCTGTATTATAGATGCACCTGTAATATGAGTACACTTGTAATATGGGTGCACACGTGGTATAAGTGTGCTTGTAATATTGATGCACTTGTAGCTAATTGTAATATTGGTGTACCTATAAAATTGGTGCAGCTATAATATAGATGCACCTATAAAATTGGTGCACCTGTAATATGGATGCACCTATTAAATTGATGCACCTGTAATATAAGTGCACTTGTAATATGTCTGCACTTGTTTTAATGGTGCACCTGTATTATAGGTGCACTTGGTCATTCTTTTAAGATCTAATATCATCTCAATGAGTATTATTGTTGAAGTACATGTACTCGTCTTGTTTTATTTCTAGGCATGTGAATTAGATCCACTACTTGACGATTCTGTGACATTTGCCAAGAAACTTAGCTCTCTAGGAGTGGAGGTAGACTTATCCACTGTTGCCGATGTCTCTCATGCATTCTTACAACTGCTCCATGTGAGCCACTCAGCTAAGCGAGCGTCAAATATTTGTCAATCTAAAATTCGAAAAGTGTTTAGCCATAAAGGGATTTCAAAGAAAAGGCGTTTTAACTTACGTGCGAGGATTTTCTCTGCTTTATATGTGAAGGAGATAGTAGTTGTTTTAATCGCAGTGTTGGTTATGCTTGTGGTATACATTTATGGTATACTTTACACGCAATAGATTTACAATGGGTCATTTTCACAGAAAATGCCTAGAACTAGAACCATCTGAAAAATTGCTGTCCTGGTGCTATATTTGTTCTTCAAATCAGGATAACCATTCTATAGTCAGGTTTGGAGATTCAAATGTGCCAAGTGTGTCTCAGCCAATCAGTTTGGAGTATTCTAGTGCATTAATTCTAGGTTTGTGGTCAACTGAACAGAAACTTTATTCTCTGATGCATTATGATTTCATAATGAACTGAGCAGTGCCATATATGTCATCATCGTGCATTATGGTTTCATAAACAACTGGACAATGTCATTTTTATAAAGGATTATGGGATTAAAAAGCATTCATGCATGTACTAACCCATCCTAATAATGTGCTCCTGCTCCGCCCTCACACATTATGTTTTTGGTTAGTATATGCATCATACTTTTAAATTTCAAATAATACAGGATTTTTTATTCATGGAGTTATGAGCAATTGGGCAAAATGGTCCACAAATTACCTGACATGGACAACCTTAATGCTAAATGTGGGTTGGAGTCATGTTGGATGACCAAACTCAGGAAGGAGGGCTTTTGATATATTGTCGTATATTATCGTATGTGAATAAGTGATGTTTTGTAATTTCAGTTCAGATGATTGTTCTATGTGAAGCTACTGTGTAATGTAAGTGCAATCAGATTGTGACAAGTGCAATCAGATTGTGACAAGTGCAATCAGATTGTGACATAAGTGCTTGTTTATTAAAGGACAATGTCCAGTGAATTTTACCTTAACTGGTCCATAATTTAGATTTGACCTACATACTGTAGATACACTTATTTTGATGTGACAATAATTTGACGGATTTGCTCAACTTCAAATATTGGTGGCTATTTAGTTTGGCAGATTCAGGACTGAATTTCTTTTTTGTCTATGTTTAATGTCATAAGAACAGATATTTTAGAATTAATGACATGTTGACAGAAAAAGAGGGCCAGGAATTTTAATTTCTGAAGTGCGCTGGACGAAAATCCCAAACTGAAATTTGGCGGATTTTCTGAATCCGCCAATCCGTCAAATTAAAACAGGAGCCAAATTAAGTGTATCTACACTACTAGTACTATACAATGTAGGTCTAAAACGGTGTCATTTGAAGTGCATATAGGTTTTGTAAAGGTTTACAATAATCCACGCTTTTTAAACTGTTTACCATATAAGTCTAGTTTTAGTGTTGTGAAAGTGTCATATGATCATCTGATTGGCTACAGATACAGATGGACACTAAGTGTTTCAATTTATATATTTTTAACAGGCTTCTACAAATAATTGCTTTGTGTATGGCTGTCCCTCAGTCCATCTATCCAATAATTTAAGGTCAAATGAAAATCCAGTCAAAATATTTTAAAACTGAACATTGTAGTAGGAATCATCATGAGACCATTGAATGGTGCCATTTTTACTTAATCGAACCATTATGTCTTCAAGGATAGTAACATAGTCTTGTGCCATTTGAGCCACTGAGTGTTTTTGTATTAGCCTGTTCCTCAAATAAAAATAGTAAGGGTCGAAGCTGTCAGATGTACAGCAAAATTGAATATGCAGTTTTAGCAACTTATGTAGTATTGTACATGTTATATGCTTATTTTAGGTCACAGTAAATAAATGTTCAATTGTATTATTGTGTATTTAAATTATTTATAAGAATATAGAACTTTATATTCTGTATTTATATATACTTTTGTTTTGTTGCTTCTTTTGTACCTAATAAATGGCTCATTTTGTAGCTAATCCAAGTTATCTCAAAATACAGTCTCTTTACAAAGCTGGGATCAGAGGATAGCATCTTCTCAGGAATTGTTTTCCCTATCAGTCATTATTTTCCGTAAGCTTAAAAGGTAAATGTAATGTCCCAAAATATTGATTTTACATGTAGGTCTACTGATACAACTGCTTGCAATTATCAAAAAAAGAAAACTATATTTTATATCTTTATTTCTGAATCAAAATTTCAATACATAAATACATATATCTTGGGTGTTCCAATATACTTCATGTTTTCTTGTCCTCATTTTCTTCTTTATTTGTCAATTTTTAACAGTTTAACATTGTTTAATGAAGTGATTAAAAACAAAAATCTGAATTGATGCTCGTCCGTAACTAATGTAACTTTCTGTGATATATTTTTACTGCTTAAACTTTTTTTTTGCTTAAACTTACATTTTTGGGTATACATGTTTTTTTATATCTTAATTTTTTACTGATGACATTTAATCAACAAATAAAACGTGAAACTCTTTTGTACAAAAATATAAATAAACATTACAGTAAGAGACTACTTTTCACCTAAATGATCTGGGTTAATATGTAAACTTTGTTTTACAATAGACTAAAATTATGCAACCCACAAATTAGAAAAGATATACACATTTTGATGACTGAATATATAACATATAAAATCATTTTCTAATTTGTGGGTTGGCAATTCTGCACAACAGTAATGTGCGTCATTCATGAAACTATTTAATCACAGAACAGACTCCAAACTTCTTAATCTACCAACTTTTAAACTTTTTTAAGCCCTGATACCATTGACTAAGCATTTGTAAATATACATTTATTGTATTGCATCAATTTTCTCAGTTTGAATAACATATTTCAAATAATGAGAAATAAATTTTGAAATTTCCACAACCTACTAAAAGGAAAATCTGCCACCAAATTGTATGTACTGTAAATTACAATTATATCATTATTGTATGTACAAGTACTAATTTTAAAACAAACCCGTATTCCAAAAATACTGTACATTTTTGACTGTGAAAACCACAGAGGTTGTCCATATATGTAGTTATATCAAGTAACAGACGAGGTTCATTCCCATGATGCATTTCACTTCATTTACTAGAGACAGTGAAGAATGTATATGATTGCTCTTGTTTTACTTTTATACCTGCCTTGCAGGGCTAATAAAAAACTAACAACACATAATAGTATTTAACATGTATACTGATACTCGTACATTACAATATTTTCTTGGTGATTCTAAAATTAAATTTATATTTCTGTGAAGAGTAATAAAATCTTCTCTTCCGTACACTTTATCTTCTGCAAAATTACCACAGTTTCTCCAGATTTTAATTTCCCAAATATATGACTTTTTATAAAAATAACAATAAATACACATTAATCTTTTGGGAAATATGGTTATCATAAACAAGTTTTCATATAACTGACTTCTGATTGGTCTATTGGTCTTCTATTGTGACATGATCTGATGTCAAAATGAGTTTCCATGGCAACCAAAGTAATGATCATAACAAGAAACTATCAAAGATATGCACCCTCACTTGCTTTACTTAACATGTTCATCAAATGTTTTTTCAGAGCCTTGAAACTCTTTATACATTAAATATATTATGACTTCAATAGAGAGTGGACAACAGCCTTGGCATTTAGGTTCTTCAGGTCAGTGTATGTCTGTCCTGTTCCTACAAACACTATGGGCTGGCCAGTTATGTAGGTCATTGAGATGGCTGCTCCTACCTGAAACAGTTAACAGATGATTCAGTGAATGAGATACCCTTGTAATAAGTAGGGCAACTGACCCTTACATAAAATAACAGTGGGATTAAGTTGGTACGTGAATTAAATCATGCTTTATCATTTGAAAATAAATAAAAAAGTAAATAGCCCATTTCAATAAATTTAGAAAAACTAGCCAAATAATGATAAGTAATTTTGGTTTATGGTGAACAATAAAATAAATATGTTATTATAATTGTCCGGAAATTACCTTGTCATCAATTGTATCAAACTTGGTCAGTAGGATGCCGTCAATGATTCTGGGGTTCTCCATGTTGGAGTGATCGGCCAATGCCTGGTTAAACTTGGTCAGCTGATCCACAGCCTCGTTACCAACCAGTGCCTCTCCAACAAATAGAACCAGATCTGGTGTGTTCACTTTGATCAACTAAAAATATATATTAAGGAATAAAGAATCCTGTATCATTCTATAGACTATTGCGAATTTAAAAGCATGAGGGCATATACGAACCCATACACATAATGCACAGTGATTAAGTATTCAGTATTATACATAGTACTTAAATTAATCTAAAGTCATTATTTTTTCTGAAATTATTTGCTGAATACTACCCTGTGTGCAGAGTCTAGTTAAACTACAGAAGACGAAGCTCTCTTTTAAGAAGTGAAGTCAAACGAATGCAAAGGGTAGCTGAATACACAATTAATGCAGAAACATTTCACTGCGTAAATCATAGATTAAATGTCTCCAGGAGCAGGGACATAAGCTATATACATTTTGTGAATGACAAAATCATTTAACAAATCTCTGAATTTAAACCCTGGTATTTTACAAGTAATATCATTTTGTTTGTTTCATCCCCACCTTTGCCAGGGCTCTCATAAGAGGTTCATTGTCCTGCATTCGGCCAGCCGTATCTATCAGTACAACATCTATACGAGTGTCTCGAGCTGAAATATAAAGAAAACATTTTAGCACAACTAAATGAGCAGCATGCCAGGTCAAACAGTAAAATAAGCAAAATAAGGTTGGCCTTAGTTATCCTGCCATCGGATGGATGTCCTTTTTTCAATTTAATTTGAAGAATGACTGAATATGTTTCTGTAATTTGGCCTAACTACGCCACTGTGCATAATTGTGTGTGGAAACTAGAAAACGGCAACTCCACGGAGTAGCGATACCAATGAATGATATATAAATCATGAATCTGTAGGTCAGCAGCTGAGCAAATTTAAAAAAATAAGTTTGTCCCCTAAGTTTCTCACTGGATTCATGTAGAGCAAGGTCTTGGGCTTATTTTGAGCTTGGGTTCTCTGTCCTAGCCCCGGCAACGAATGTGAAAAATGGTCCTATAGGTGGCGCCCCCTACAATTCACCCCCAAACTTAAAACTAATTATTATTTTCATAATTGAAACATAAAGACATCTCAAATAGCTTAAATTGATCAATGGTACATTAAATTATGCATAAAAAAATTTTTCAATGTGTGAAAATCATAATTTATGGAGAAATAGTTGATTAACCCCTTAAAACGCCCCCTATTTTAAAGGGGATACTTAAGTTAACTTCCGTAACTTTTGTGTTATTCAGGATTTGGGCTCCAAAATATTCCTGAATATGTACAATTATGGTGTTGAGAGACTGCAGTAAATCTATGTTCATAGCTTTATAACTTTTTGAGAAAAAAAATAAAACGTATTTCCATATAATTTGGATTTGTATTATTTTCAGATAAACCATCATCTATACTTTTTGATTTACTCTCCATACCTTATACCCATGCATAGTATTGATACTTTTCTTTCATTTTAGACCAATATAGATGACTGTAGTTCACTTAAAATAAATAATAATAAAAAATTTAAGCAGAAATTATTGATTTACCTCTTAAAACACCCCTTATATAGGGATACATATACTATAGCTTCTATAACTCACTGTAACTTATGTTTCGTTCAAGATTTAGGCTTGAAAATATCCTTGAATTTGAAGACTTGTGTGTGTGGGAGACTTAATAGTTAACCTTTGCTCCTAAATAAATAAATAATTTACCATATGCTGTTGTCTTTGTAAATTATCTCAAATTCAAATTCTGTTGTCATTGACGATATCCAAGACGATATATTGTGGCGATTCACGACCCCATTTGATAGAAATTTGGATTTCATATAATACATCATCACATGAGCTTAATACATGCACAGAATTAGTGATGATTAAATCCCATGAGAAACGAGGACCAAGTGATTAAAGAGTTGAAGCGACAGTTATGTCCGCCATTTGTGACAACGGTATCTGACTTTATCAAATACTCAGCTTGACCCATTAAAATATGGCTTCGTTTTTGAAAATCTTGATACAAAGGATATTCTAGATCTGTATATCACCTGATGATCTGATTTTATAATGTAATAAACCAGATGCGAATAGGCAGTTACCAGTTTCACCGCCAGGAGGCTAATTTCGGGGCCGAACATGGCAGGGTATTAGAAAGTTCCCCTAAACTTGAATATTCATCAGCTTTAGTGTTTCAATTTTCATATCACCTTATGTATCTGATAGTTATATACAGTACAAATTAAAAAATTAAAAAATATGCCCAGCAAAAGAAAATATTATCTGTCCAATACAAGCAAAGATATTTCACTTCTTGTGATTTTATTAACATGGGGTCTATGGAGAATCTCTTCAACCTAGAAATTGCATTTTCAAAGAAAATTAAATTTTCAAAGTTGCAAAACACATTCCTAGATGTAATTTTCCATTTAGATTTCAAATATGATATCACTTTGACTGAATTTTTAATGGCGCAAATCAAGATTATTTCTACTTCCATCTAATTTATTATAGTAAGTGTGGTACAAAACAGATTATGAACTGAACTGAACAAAATTAATTGTTGAATGTTTTGTAAGTGCAAGGGAAGTGGTAACTGTAATTACCATCTAATCAAGCTTTTAGAAAGTGTTGTAAGTAATGCATGAACTTATTAATCTGATGTCACTGTGATACTGCATGTATGTTTTTTCGAAGAATCATCATAACACAACCAGCAGAAAGTATTTTTCTTGGTATGTTGTATCTTTGTATCTATTGGTCAGGAAGACGAGAAATAATATATATATTTGTTAAAGTGTACATGCATTAATATTTCACCATAAACAAAGAAAGGTATTTATTGGTTGTGTTGCAGGAATTGTGCCAGCACAACCCAGTCAATAAGGTCAGCACAATACAAAAATATTACACATACCATATCCCTAGTTGGTTTTTCAATAGTCTTAACTGAACCCCTAGTAAGCTAAAGACTGAAAGAGGTGCTTTAATATCCTTTTTTGGTTCTTTGGTTATTTTATAGCCTTAGTGCTATCATAATATGCACTGGTTGTGCCATAATACCCCATATTTATCCCACCGAACGAAGTTCGTGAGGGATATAGGAAAGCCGTCCGTCCGTCCGTCCGTTCGTCCGTCCGTCCGTCTGTTTGTCCGAGCGATAACTCAAAAACCGTTTCACGGATTTGATTCAAATTTTATAGGCTTATGCCTTATGAGTGTAGGACCTCTGCTCGAGAAGGAATTTTCAATATGGCCGCTCAATTCAAAATGGCCGCCATTTTTCGTAAAAAATGTAAGCGTTGATAACTCAAATACAAGTTGACAGATTTGGTTCAAATTTTATATGCTGATGCCTAGGGACAAAGGAGTTTTGCACAAAAAGAGATTTTCAAGATGGCCGCTTAATTTCAAAATGGCGGCCATTTTTCGTAAAAATATGTAATCTTTGATTACTCAAATACCACTGAACGGATTTGGTTCAAATTTTATATGATGATGCTTAGGGACACAGTAGCTATGTTCGACAAAACATTTTCAAGATGGCCGCTTAATTTCAAAATGGCGGCAATTTTTCGTAAAAAATGTAATCTTTGATATCTCAAATACCAGTGAACAGATTTTGTTGAAATTTTATATGATAATGCCTAGGGACACAGTAGCTCTGTTCAAGAAATAATTTTCAAGATGGCGGCTGAATTTCAAGATGGCGGCCCATATTCGTAAAAAACGTAATCTTTGATAACTCATATACCAGTGAACGGATTTGGTTCAAATTTTATATGCTAATGCCTAGGGACAAAGGAGTTTCGCACAAAAAGAGATTTTCAAGATGGCCACTTAATTTCAAAATGGCGGCCATTTTTCGTAAAAATATGTAATCTTTGATAACTCAAATACCAGTGAACGGATTTGGTTCAAATTTATTACGATGATGCTTAGGGACACAGTAGCTATGTTCGACAAAACATTTTCAAGATGGCCGCTTAATTTCAAAATGGCGGCAATCTTTCGTAAAAAACGTAATCAAATACCAGTGAACAGATTTGGTTGAAATTTTATATGATTATGCCTAGGGACACAGTAGCTCTGTTCAAGAAATAATTTTCAAGATGGCGGCTGAATTTCAAGATGGCGGCCCACATTCGTAAAAAACGTAATCTTTGATAACTCAGAGACCAGTGAACGGATTTGGTTCAAATTTTATATGATGATGCCTAGTTCACAATGGTATAAACTAACTTTGTGCCAAATTTCATGCTTCTATCACAAAGTGCACAAACATTTCAACATTTACACTAGCTATAATAAGCATAATATGTTTTGTTCGGTGGGATTTGCTACTCCGTGGAGTTGCTGTTTTTCTAGTTGTTTCATTATATCCGTTATCAATTCCTTAGTATACCCAGAGAGCTTTAATTAGTTTCTAAATACCCATTAGTGCTTCCTAATATACCTTGTAGTGCTCTTTAGGGGCTAACAGAACACCATGATGACCTACTTGGAACCATCATGAGCTTTCAAGAGAAAGCCCATTGAACCAATCAGGGTATCTAGGAAACCATGAAGGAATACTGCAGCACCACAAGGCATACTAGGGGTCTCCAATAGATATGAATTTAAACACTTCCTGGGTATACTAGGGAATCGCTAGAGGCTACATGGAACCAATGTGGGTGACAAAAGCACAACAAGGGCATCTTTGGGAATCACTAATGGATATTAAAGTACCAATTGTGGCTATCAAAGCACCAGCAAGGCATATTAGGGAGTACAAGGGCAGATTTAGAAACCAATAGGGATTATTAAAGCATCACTAAGCAAACTGAGGAATCACTTAGTGTTATTAAGGAACCAATTGTGGGTATCAAAGTTCAATCAGAGCCAATCAGGGCATACTAGGTTATCACTTTAAAAGGAACCAATTTGGGATATTAAACCACAACCAGCCATACTACATGTAGGTAATTGCTAAGGCTATTTAATGAACCAATGGGGGAAATCAAAGCACAACCAAGCATACGGAGAAATCACAAAGGTCTATTAGGAACCATATGTTTAAAGCACAACCAGGATATACTAGGTTATTTCCTAGACTATTGATGAACCAATAAGGGTTATTAAAGCACAACCAGGGCATGCGATCTTATCACTAAGGCCATTACTAAAGCTATGAAAGAACCAATCAGGATTACTAAAACAACACCAAGCATTCTTAGTAATCCCCAAGGGCTACTAAGGAATCAATAGGGGTTATTAAAGCACAACCAGGGCATACTGGTTATCAGTAAAGCTATTAAGGAATAAAAGGGGGCTATTAAAGCACCTCCATGGCATTCTAGGGAATCACCAAAGGCTATAGAAGAGCTAATTGGAGCTATCTATTTATCATTTTTGTATTGTGCTGACACAATATACTGGGTTTTGTTGGCACAATCACTTCAACACAACCAGTAAATATCTTTCTTTGTATGGAGAAATATTTATATCTGTACACTTTAACTAATAAATGCATACAGGGTGTTTCATATGTATACATCCCCCATAAACTCATACATGTCATATTGCCACACCATCATGTTATATATATTTTGCTCCTTATGGAAAGCAGTG